CTCCCTCTGACAGATCGGGACCTCATTCAAGGGATGCAGGCGAATTGGAATCATAGGTACTTATACACAAGACCGTAACTGAAAACAAATTTTGGAAGGGGGCCAGGCCTGAATTAACGTGTAGGCGTGGTAGGTACGTGTCTAGTGCTAGACAATGGCTGTAGAGACTATTTTGTTCCTAGCAATGTACAATATTATAATATACCGACATAGAGTACAACAAAACGTTTTAAATAACATATAATTTCGTGTCATAAAATCTGATTCGACTATATAAGACAATAGCACAGCTTAAGTTCCGCGGTGTTGATTACGATGTGTTGCATTAAGTCCATTAAATTTTAAATAATAGTTTACTGTAGATTTTACGAAGCAAATGACTTTGGGTAACAAAAAAAAATGTGGATAAAGGGTGTTTTACAATTTTTAATAATATCCATATTCTTTACTGTATTTAAAGTACAACGATTCACGATTTTGTTGAGATAACGGGGGGGGGTCATTTGAGCCATTCAGACTAAGTATACTTTGGCAGACTTAGTTCTTTTTAAATGTGTTTTTGACCTACATAAAATGGGATATCTGTGGGAGTTTCATCTACGGTGTAACGTAATGTATAATATATTATTTCGATTATTATTCACATTGCTTCTTTATACCACTTTGTAACTATAGTTCAGCGTTTCAATCTGTTCTGATATTCTAATTCGTTTGTGGGAACGTAATAGTACTCATCTTGTATACTAATTTTTAAATTTGATTATCGTTTCAATAAAGGCACTAGAAAAGCTCACTTCCACTCTAATTCATTTTATCCAGTTTTTGTCCGGAGATTCTAATTGATTTATTAATGTATTCCATATTTGTTATAGTTTTTTTATATATGTATATACTATAAATAGATAAAAACTGATATGATATAATAACATACAGGGACGTACGCAGAAAAAAGTTTCGGTGACTTTTTTTGAAAATCAATTGTTGTAAATTACACCGGTTTTTTTTTTAATAAAAATAATATACGTAATTTTATCAAGAAAATTAATTATATTAACTTTTTTCCTTATAATGTATACATAGGTATAATAAAAAACAAAAATGTAGTTTGTATTTTCAATCATTAATGGGTATAATATATGATACAATACAATTTATTATATTTACAAGCCCTGTATTAAACATTTATTTTGCTTTGGTCGGCGCTATACAAACATAATAAAATAATATACCTGACTACTTCTATTATGGTATTTGACACTTACAATAAGTCAATAACCATAAAAACACCAATCATTTTGGGTGTGTTTGAACACACGACACACATCCTGCTTACGTACTTAATAACAGACTTTGAATGAGTATTTCGGTCAGGGCAGTTATAATATTGTGAAATTTTAATAAAAAATTCTATGACTTCACCGGCGAGCGAATGGAAATATTTATGTAGTATATAAATAGGTACCAGGGTAAACCAAAGTTAATTGTTTTGATTGACAAAGTTATTAGCCGCAAAAAGGAAAAATTTACAAAATATTTGAAAATTATCGACCTGAAATTACATAAACAATATTTGTTTTATACGATATTTTGTGTTTTATGGTTAATAATAACTTTGTCAATATTAAATATTATCCTTATTAGTTATAGAATCTTTTATGTATATTTTTTCATTATTACATTTTGATGATACCTATGCCATTTTTGATCAGCAATAATATAAGCTCTTATAAAAAAAAAAAAAAAAACAAACAGGTGTTAACTTACAATAATTACTATAATATCTAAAATATTTACCTAAAATCACTGCTCACAAAATGAAATAAAATTCAAAGGTACTGTTACACCTGCACAAATAAAACATAAAGATACGCCCGTGAAAAAAAACACAATTTTTTTTCTTGATCGAACATTACATTATACCAGGTACGAAAGGTATAAAAGATACTAAAAGTATAAAGTAACTTTAAAGCAGTGATTCCCAACTAGTGCCTGGTTTAAACATTTTTGGGCCGAGAGCTTTGATATAAAATAGTAAATTGGTTACAATATTACAATCCAGTCATTATTAAAAAAAAAAAAACAAAACCAATTATAAATATTAATATGAATATTTTATTTCACTTGTTTTATATAATAGAATTTTTTTTGTTATTCATTCAAAATCTATGTGAGTGTTAAAATCTAGAGGCCAGATAGCCAGGGTCACCTAGGTATTTGCTTAAATTAGATACAATTCCCAAAATGTTTACAGGACGAATCCTTAAAAGGATTTAAAGAGATTTTTAATTTGTCTTCATATAAACTTTGTTAATTCTTATTAATAAATCTCTTAGGAGTTGAATTTCTGTAATTTTCTAAAAATGTGTTCAACTATTTATTTGATAGACTCTCGGTATTGATATATTAAACGCATTATACTTTTTAATACCTTTTTAATATTGAAAAACCTCTCTTAGTGGTCTCCTACGTTACGTAATGGATTTATGTGCAAAATGTCAAATTTTTAGACTAAGAGGTTTGGACTGTGCGTTGATATTATACACCTTCACATTTTGACACTCCTTTTTAACTCTTTAGGGATTCAATTTCGAAAATACATTATTTATTTATTTATCAAATTATTCGACATAAAAATGAACAATTGTTATTATTTGTTATTATAACACTAAATTCAAATATTACCTTAGTATTGGATAACATATTAAATTATTATTATAATTAATATGAACAACATTTTTAAGATTTATAAAACATATCACAACTAATATACAACCAGGCCACTTCTTCCGGGATTATTTTGATGAAGTTCTTCAAATCACCATCGTATTTCCTTAGCTGACAGTCCAAAAATAAATTTCTTAGTGTAACTTACAAGATGACAAATTAGGTTGGTCTGATAGAAGTTAGTCCGTTTTCGAATTCGTTCAGTATGTGCGTCTGCTACCTATCCAGCCAATATCGAAGTTGTCTTCTTCTTATTAGTTGATTTTTAATAAAAACAAAAATGTATTATATACTCCTCATCGCTTAGTGCTATTCGAGTAGCAGTTGTATAATGTAAGCAAAGCGTATGTATCAAAAATCTGTGATTATGCATGACTAATTATTTTGTCATGAAAAACGTGCCTCATCAATCATACGGGTTCGGTTAGGTTAGGTTATTCACAATAATTCTGAGCAGGGTTCGATTATGCATATTTTTAAAAGCAGTAATATTTACGATTTTCGTCATAATTTGATATTAAAATTCTTATAAAAAAATAATGCTACATGAAACTCAACTTTTTCTTGTTAACGACTATTGCAACTTATAAAGAACTTCCTGTTAAGTTTTCAAGCATTTCTTTTTCAAATTGGTTTAATAATTTTATCCACAATTTACCAATAAAAATTACGTAAAAAAAACGCGCAAAATTAAAACGTAAGTAAATAGCTCAAAAATGGCTGGAATGTTTTGAATATGTTATCACGTCTAGAAAAGTCAAATATAAGTTTATTGTCCATATTAAATGTTTCTACGAACATTTTTAACTGAATTATAATAAAAAAATTAAATTAAATAAAAGAATAAAAGCATTTTTTTTTCGTGAATTTTCCCGTTTTTCGTGACTATTATGAAAACAGCTTGGAAAATCAAAAAAAATGACCTCCCTAAAGTACCAACTAGATTATTTTTCAGAAAAGGTGCTACACTTGATATATCAGAGCAAGATTTTTGGTGGAATTTTTGTGTATTATTAAAAATATTAAAAGTATATATAAAAAACAAAACATTGTAAAACCCATATATTTCGTATTTTTTTATTTCACTCAGAATCTAAAATAGTTAACACATACATAATATAGGACAAACGATTATGTCATTTATAAATGCCGTTTAGTATTTTTGAAAATATTTATATATATATATTCATAACACTAAAAGCATAGTTAATTGAATCAAATTCTTTGGCTCTACGAGTTTCTTTAACTTTATATTATAATAAAGTATTTAGGTACTTAATAAGTAGCGACTGATCTATAAAATAACGGGACCAATGTTACATGAAGATAAATTTTAAAATATCTAAAAAAAAAATAAGAGATAATTGCAAAGATAAGTTAAAGATAAATAATCAAAAATATTTATCTACATAAAAAAACTGAACAGGAATAAGTATTTTTTTTTATCGCCACGCCGTTTAACCACTATGCGATGAAACCGTTGTACTTTTATGACGGTAAATTTGTGTATAATATTGAATGATGTTGACAAGTATTAAGAAAGTGCATTCCGGATACTACACTCTATAATTATATTACTTTAATGCGTTCTATGCTATCGAAATGTGTATTAATGCGCATTACACCATTTATGACTAACCCGCAGAGTATACACTGTACACAACGGTGTATAGAATTCCAGGAAAAAAAATCCGATCGGTTTTTATGCGATACTCTTGTTATTACTATTTTATTACCTCTTAGGTGCGTTTTAGTAATTTTAGCCTTTTCAAATCGTTCTCCTCAACAGTCTACGTTGTCCCACGTGCAATTCAAATTGATAAGTCGGTTTCCATTGTATTTGAAATAATGGTGCGAGTCATATTGGATAAATATAAGTAGACTAGGTACTATAGTATAACACAAGGGTCGGCAAGTAGTTTATATTGGAGTCCTAAAGATTAAAATAATAAATCAATGAAGTCCAGTGAAAAAATCTTTGTCAAATCTTTATATTTGAAAATAGCAGTACATATAAAAAATAATTATCTAGCTATTACAATTAATTTATGTTAATAATTAAATAAAAAAAATAATTTTTTTTTGTTTTCGATTGCCAAAATTCCTGTCCTTGTGTTAATCCTTGCCGATAAAGGAATATCTTGAATAGAGTTACCGATTTTTTATTTTCTTCAAAAAATGCAGTGGCCACTTTCAGCATACATTTTTTTACTATGTCGGAATCGGAAAAAAGTTTTTAGTGCTTATTAAGAACCCAGCACACACGCAACGCTGCTTCAGTTGATTTCTCTTGTTCGCTCATACACCGTATAAGTGTAGTCGTAATATTTTTGAAAAATAATATACATGTATGGACCTTTTTTTTTACGCACTTCACTACCTGGAGGAAATTTTGTATAAAAATCTTTATGAGTAGTTTCATAATGGCGTTTTAAATTTCCACTTTTAACAATAGCGACAGTTGAATTGCAAATTGAAGCCGACTGGAATGGCTCCCATTCTATCAGATAATACAAAACAATATAGTTCTGTCCACTAATTCAAAAACTTCCTATTTTTACTGTCAATTTTACGGTTTTTACTGAACACATTGAACGAATAATACAAATAAATCTTATTTGATAAATATTATTATAAAACGAAACACGCACTGTATCCACCAGCGAATGTACCCGAACTAAATCGTTAACTAAATTGTTATTTAGAAAATACAGATTATGTACAAATATTATTATTTCCACGTCGAATAACGAAATTATTATTTCGTCGGTATATATGATATTTTCGTGACTCGTCCATCGGGTATAATTACCTGCACGATGAAACGTTTTCAATGAATTAAGATATAACTATAATCTGAGTTTGATAAATGAAATAAAATATACATTTTCTATTAATAATAATAATATAATAAAGTATATACTATTACAGTAAATAACATAATCAAGTACGATATGTAACGGGGTCTAGAGTTTTGCCTTCAGCGGTCCGCCAGTTGCCGACCCCTGGTATAACATATACATCATGAAGATACCAATTACTTAATTAGGTGTACGATTCACACTACCTAAAGACAATTATTGTCTAGAATAAAAAAAAGCACATATAATTTATACCTATGTGAATTGGACTTTCCGTTAAATAAATAAATAAATAAATCATACATTATTATTTTCGTTAAGGACATTCGAAATACACATGTTTATTATTTACATTATAAATTTGAAAAAAAAAAAGTAATTTATTAATAACCGATTTAATTTGGTTAATGTCAATTCAATTGAGAATATTGTTTCACCTATCATCAATACTATCGAAAACGTACACCATAATATATATTATATTAACCTAAGCTTCTGGTGTCCTCGGGCAATATAATGTAATATTATTATAGGAGGATTTATCCACTCACTAACAATTGATTAAGATTAAATATAATAAATGTACCTATATTGACGTCTATTTGACAGCTAACAGACAGTTATGTATATTAAAAGGTTTGTTATTATGTTATATTTCATCAACATAATCTATATCAGGCTGGCCAAACTGAAAACAATTCGAGACGATTTTTCAAAACATAAATAATTTACTGGTATAACAAATATAATAATATTAATAAGGGTTATGTATAAAACAATAAACTTAAAACTTTGGAAAGGGACAACCAAATTGAATATGAATATACTAAATTTGGAATTTATAAAAGAAATGCGTTGATTACAAAAGCAACAAAATACATTCCTCGCTATACTTGGAATCTAAAAATAAAAAGACAATAATATTTTAAATGTACGAGTATTGAAATAATTTATATCATAATTAATGTAAAACGTCTACATTTATGATGTTGCTATGTGAAACTTTTTTAATCAAGCAATAATTTGTTACTCCAGAATGTATTATAGAAAAATTAAAATTAAATGAAAACGTGTACCTTCTTCTCTTAACTCCGAATGTAATATTTAAAACCATCAAACCGATTTTGACACATACAATTAACCAGATAATTTTATTTTTTAAATACAAATAAACATTACTTATAGTTGAATAAGTGTTTTGCATAGACGAGTATTTATTTGCATTTTCTTAAATAATATAAAACGTATAAGTTCAGCAATAAGTGAGCGGTAAGCAATAAGACCTTATCAATAAATAAATTAATTAACAGAACAGTTGTAACAGTTATATCAGTTTAAAATTAAAACAGTTTTACACAATATTAAAAATATATTTTTCGAGTTAAAATATACCAAATATTTTATTCAGTGAAAACTTAAAAAAATAGAACATATTCTCCAAATTATCGTTATGTAACACACATAAATATACACATACATAATATATAAATATATTTATAGTATTTTGAATTTATTATTATTTAAACCTGTCCACAAAAATAAAAAAATGTCGTTTAAAATACTATTAACTTACTTATTGCTTATTTCAAATAACCTGTTCAGTTAGTTTAATTTTGCAAATGAACCAATGGTGTTTTGAAAGACCTTATCTAAATATTTGGTAGGTAGTTTTAGTAAATTTGCTTTACATTATATTGGTGATGTGTGATGAATCTCTGACAACCTTTCTGGGGGTGCAGCTTTCACGTAGGCGGTCGATAAACAGTTACCACGGTACCATACTGGGTCATATAATAGAATACACGAAACTTGTGTTTATGACCTTTAAGTATTTTGATATATAAAACCAGCATGGTGGAGAAACCAATATATATATAAATTTAAAAATAACATCTTTAAATGTGGTTGTGTGTTTTTATACAATGCAATTTTTAACGACGGTTTGAGAAATTATAATAATATTGTCTAGAATCGAGAGGCTACATTTAAGAAATAAATATTTTTCGATTAAACCGCATAAAACAAATTATATTAAAATTAATTAAAATAAAATCGGAGTAGAGCTAATGCATATAATAAAATTATACATTACATGAATGAATATAGGTATATTAAAATGTAATTATTGATAAATTGCATGCAGTTTGGGGCACAAATGATTAGTCTCAGTATCGTATTCTCACTGGAGACTGACAATCACGATATAATGTCTAGAGTGTAGACAATTGTGTAGACTCTGCACAATCGTTAGAGTTATGTAATATTTTAAGTAAAGCTAATGGGGAATAAGTGAATTTATGAAATATCGCCACGCAAACATTATTATTATAATGACTGAAACCTATAAAGGGTGGTTTTTATATGCTTTTAAATTTATTTTAATATAATTTAGTATTTAATAATTTATAAACTAATAAAACCTCGAGGGATTTTAAAAAACGTTGAACTTTTAAAATATTATTATTAAAACTAAACAAGGTACTTTATTATTTCTTTGTATGTATTTTTATTTTGTACAGAAAATATTCGTTCAAAGAATAATAAACTATTAATTTTAAATCATAAATAATTTAAGTTGAAATCTAAAAGAAGATGATTTTCTAGATAATGAGAACACCGGAAAACTTAACGATAAAAATAAAAAAAAGTTGGCTTAGACAATAATTAAGACAATTTTATATTAAAAAATACTGATTTAAATATCGAACGATGTAAGAGAAAATATTCAGTGTTGTATTTAAGAAGAATTACTCAGAAATATATATTGTATGCGATATTGGATGAAGAGGACGAAAATACGTACACAAGAGAGAGTAAGAAACAATAAAAGATATAAAAACGTGCCAAATCATGAATGGAAAAAATACAAGATATTCGTTTTAGATGATTAGAAGTAAATCTACTTCTACTTTTCAAAAAAATAATGAAAATTATTCCGTTCAACTTCATTTGTTCGTATTGCTTTAATTTTCCAAATTTAGAATTCAACCGATAAGAAATAAAAATTTTAAGTAAATGAAGACAATTGGAAAACAAAAACTACGCATAGCGGTTTATCAGTTCAATGGGAAATAATCTTATAGTAACAGAATAAAAAAAAAAAAACTAATATACTTCGCACAATTAATTTTAATCTGTACGTAACGATTAATCATTGCTTACGAAAAACGATTCTATGCGGAGTTCAGTTATACATTTTTGAAAGGCTTAATATCTACGACTTTTGCCATAATTTGATATTAAAATTCTTATAAAAAAAATAATACTACAAATTTTATAATTCTAATTAAAATACTCAATTTGTTTTTTGTTGATTACTAAGTTCAACTTATAATGAACTTCCTGTTAAATTTTTAAACATTTCTGTTTGATATAACGATTTTATCCATGAGTATCTACCGAATAAAAATTATATAAAAAACTTGCAAAATTAAAATGTGGATAAATAACTCAAAAATGGCTCGAATGTTTTTAAAATTTGACTAGAAAAAGCAAATATAAGTTTTTTGTCCAAATTTCATGTTTCTATAAATATTTTTAACTACAATATAAGAAAAAAATTGAAAATAATAAAAACATTATTTTCGTAAATTGTCCATTTTTAAAAATTATTATTAAAACTTAAAGAACCAACTAAATAATATTTCCTCTCTGAAAAAGTGCTACATTAGAAAATTGGAGCAAGATTTTTGGTAAAAAAGTGGTTTGCAGATAAAAAAAAAAACGTCTTGTATTATTATTATCCTTAATGTCATTTAAAATTATAAAATCAATCACTTTATGCCATTTTCTATCAAGTATTTTTAATAATGTAAAGATACACACGAGTAAGTAATTGTAAAGAAGTTTTTCGATATTATTCAACGCATTTTTACTTTGGCTCACATTTTTAAAATATTTCTAATTAATTAATATAGACCGTAAAAGTCAAGAGTAATTTCAATATTTAACGTTTTGACCTTTTAATACTTAAAAAAAAATCTGCTTTCATGGCACAAAATGTCCAAATCAACCTTTATCATGACAACTTAAAAGTTATAACTTACAATTTAAAAAGATGTAAAAATAATTCAACAAATTTAATGTAAGCATTAAAAATAAATTAATAATAATTAACATCCACCAAGATTTGAGGTACTACGGATGCAAAATATTAAACGGATAATCTCGATATAAAAGGATTTAAAATTTTGTATGTATTAGTCCTTTTTCCCAAGGATTTTCATTATAAATAGGAAAAACCGGTAAAAAAACAAGAAAATTTACGAAACATAGTTTTCAAATAGAAAATTTGTATGGCTTTTTAATACCGAACTCCGCTAAGAATTGTTTTTCGTAAGCAATGGTTAATCGTTCTTACAGATATATATTCAATTTCTTCTTTAACTTTACACCTACAACAATGGTCCCCTTATCGTGCGAAGTACGTCTGTTTGTTTTTTTTCAATTAAAAATAAACAGTCCTTCACCATATCAATAATTCGTAATAATCGAACCGTCATTTCAATTTCTTATAAAATGTGTAAACATTTTATGAGACCAATTTTCCCCCTTTGTCCTAATGTTCCAGATCAATTATATGATTGTACAACATTTTAATAGCAAACATAAATTAAATATTTAAGCCTAAATGCCAGAGTAAGAGTATTGATTAACACCTAGGTCAATTATGGATACTTATTCCAAAAGGTACCAGTGCACGCCCAGCCCAACGTCAAACGGCACTTCTGAAGCACAGTTAAAACTTAAAAAGTCATGGAACACGAAGTTTTGACGAAGAACAACACGTTATGATTGAATTTATTTGAAATGCATTAATACAATTTTAAATTAATACTATAATAATGAAATAATATTATACGAATAATAAATTATAATACTAAACTTCAGACAACTAATTGAAAAAAAATATTATTTTAATTTTTGTGCTAGTGGTGGGGGATAATGTGGGTTGAGTTGTTTTCACAAATTAAAAGAACACGGAAATATAGAGCGGTAACTGTACAAAACTTATTTTTCAGCCGATTATGGTTAGCCGAAAATATGTTGGCAAACTTTATTTAAGTTTATATTATACATATCTATATATATTTTACGGTAGGTATATAAACGTCAAAACTTTCATAATGAGGTTCCATTAATAAACTTAAAAAGACGTCCTAGGATAATGGGGACGGCCACTGTTATAAATAATTCAATGTATACCTGTAAACAACAATAAACCATTGCTTACGAAAAAATGATTCTGAAAGGAATTCAGTTGATAGTAATACTTTGTTAACAATATATATGTCATTTTATGGTGAAATAATTAAAAAGACTTTATATTTTTTCTTTAATAATATATGTTTAATTTTGTACCGATTTTTCCAGTTTTCCTAGGGTTTTCCAGATTTTCCCAAGTTTTATCCCGGTTTTTTTACATTTGTTGGGAAAATTCTTGGGAAAATCGAAATCTAAAATCGAAAAATAACCTCTTTAAAATACCACTCTAGTGAAATTCTCTTTTAGAAACATTTTTATCATTAAAAGTTGGAATAAAATTGCTGGTTGAAAAGTTGTACAAAGAAAAAAAAAGATCGTAATATATTTTAACTAATACATACATTTATTATATTTTCCCGTTTTTTCATTAATTGGTTTTTTACATTTGATGGAGAAAACTCTTAGAAAAATCGAAACTCCCCATGCCAACGTTAATTTTTAGACGTTCAAAGTAAAATGTAGCCAACGCATATTACATACCAAAATGTTTAGAAATGTTAATTATTAGTTTTGATAAAATACGTAAAACGATCGAGAATCATAAATTTTGTTCTCTTACACTTCTCTGTTCAAAAAAACTTTTTTAAAAAAAACTGTTAGTTCAGTAGCTATTCGATATTTATACTTACAATACAAAAACGCCTTGTACCCATATTATAAACATAGTCGTAACTTATTTCCTCATCATAACAAAATCAGTATTAAAAATATACCCCGTATTTTCTTATCATTAATAACAATAATACCATCATTTTTTTTATGAGACTATATAGTACTTTAAGACAAGTACCATAATTACCATAAGTGTGCTGTAGACCTTAGACTATTGTATTTTCTATACCTTAGAATTTTTGATTTTTTCACGTTTTGCATGACTAACAAAATGCTTTGTTGTCATCGCTATTTTTATTAATTATTATGCGATACACAAACAAACGAACAAATGAGCAAAGGCCACACAGAAAAGACGTTAAATTACGCGGAACTTGTTCTCAAAAATAACAAAGGGACCTAAGGGTCGTTGCTGGATCGACCTAAGTCTATAAAATTACTCTTATCGGCGAAAATCCCGGCCGATAAGTTACGAGACGTGTATTTGACAATGGGGTGAATGGGTGAGAAATACACCTTTGTAGAAGGAACGAACGATTCTGTCAAGGCATTAATTAATGAGGGTACTTTGGGTTGTATTCGACTACCTCGACTTTTACGGGATGTTCATCCGGGTTATCTCGAATTCTCGACTACCGTAATTTTTACGCAATGCATATCCTTCACTGCAGTAAAAAGCGCTCAACAGTCGTAAATGGCCATGAATCTCGTGATTCTTCGTGGACTCTGCCTAAGGATATATTTATGTCATAACCTAGTTAAAATAGTATTTTATATAAGTATGTATATCAATAAATTACAACTATTACAAGAGGTGGGTTATTTAAGATACATGATATTATCAACCATATTTATAAACAATTTAAAAGTGAATAGGAACAAATGGTATGAAGTCCTTTCTTTGATGGTCTATCACCATCAAAGATGAAATTGTATGCGTAAAATAATTTAGAAGTTTAAATGTATACCTTTCTTAACGATTTAAACTAAATTAAATTTATTTTTTATTTAAGTATTTATTTATACAATTATTATTTACTCAATAATATTTGTAGTCTAAAAAGTAAAAACTTATGTTTCTGTTTGTTAAGAACAGTATCAAATATGTTTTTAGAAAAACTCTCGGGATATCCTGGGTTTTTTCTAAACTTTATTTACTATAAATTTGTTCGGCATTTGCAAAATAAATAATTATACAAACTCAATTAATCTTCCACTATATGAAACTGCGATATTTTAAACAGATAGTATAACCTGTTATTAATGTATTCTACACCGTTATTATAATAAATTATAATAAAACTTTTACTCACAACAGATGCTCCTTCGATGAGAATGGATTCGTCACCGTGTTCCAACCACCCACCTCCCAAAATTCTGGTAGTGACATTTAGCTCATCTGGTTTCACGCATTTCTTGAAGTTGTCGTAAACGTCAGCTAAAAACAAAAACTATATTAGATTTAAATACATTTTAACTCAAATAATCAAATAATGTTAAACACAAGATAAGTTTTGAATTTATAAGTTATACAACCGCTTGCGTAACAATAGAATATCGTTCGTGGTCATTTTGCAGCACAACACTTGGCTACGGTAAAATTTAATTGATTAAAAATATTTCTAAGCAAAATAGCATGGACACTTAAGAATAAATAAAAACATAATATAAAGACGAAAAGTACAAGAATATGAGGTTAAACATAATTAACCTATTTGACATTTTTATTTAAGATCAATCTTATATTCTAATCTATAAAAACAAAAATTAAGTTCATTAACAAATGAACTATTTTACATTAATATTTAAAAATATTTAAGTACCTATTTTCATTGTTTTTTTTTACTCGTAAAAGTGAAAATTTGATAACAAGTAAATGTAAACTGTTTTCTTGTGTGTAAAATTGTTCAGAATGAATAGTCTATTGAGTTTTAATGTTCTGTGTACTCGGAAAATACGTATATTACACTATCGTGCCTACAATTGTATTCATTTTAGAGCAAAAATTTCGTTAGTATTAAATTATAAGTTTTTTAAAGCTTCTTTTTTTTTCTCTGTATCACAAAAATAAACATTGATGTTATTTCCGGCTGACGAGATGTGCAATTGCATTAGGTATAAATTTCATACAAAAATAATATTATTGTACCAAATGCACCGACATTTATGTTTTGTTCGTACCTATTCATAATTTATCCAGTCTATATAATTATTACGAATGTACATAAATCATATTTTATATACTAACAAATTAATTGTATAACTTATTACAGTTAACATTGCGTATGCGTACAGGTAATTATAATATTTAAAATCATATTGCAACATCGAGTGACCGAATTTAATTAAATATAAATATTTATTAAATCGCAAACGTTGAAATTAATTTCATTGGCAGATAGTAGTTTTCGGCTTTATTTTATTGATCGACTTCATACTACGTATTTTATTTAAAAGCTTATTGGTTGTTTCAGTTTCTCATTTCGAGAATATTTCGTATGGTGGGTAGTGAAAAGGGAATCTCGAGAAGACAATTATTTTAATAATCTTAATATTTCCCCAAATAGAATATAGTAAGTCTGATAAGCTTTACAATAAACAGAAATGTCATTTTCTCAAAAAGATAATGATTGTGACGAGATAATTTCTATGATACTGATGACAATAAAAAACGACTGTTGTATTAACAGTTTATTTTTTTTTTTTAAATTCTGCCAACAGCGAGTTCGTTTTACTATAATGGGTTTTTTCTCTAATAATAATTTTTCTATTAAAAATATTGATCAGATTTTCAAGTGTAGCATATTTACTGAAAGAATAATATGTACATCTATTTTGCGCAATGAGGATAGGTCATTTTTAGATATTTTTTTCGGAAAAACGGAAAAATTGTCGAGGATAAAGTAGAAAAAAAAACGGAAAATTATACGGCAAATACGGTTTTATTATGTTTGATTTTTTTGTTTATGTTATAATCGATTAAAAATAATTGTGGAAACCTGAAATTATTAAATAATGCAAACGTGGTGTGTGCTATTTTTATAGAGATTTGACATTTTTTAGGTTATTATTTTTAGTTTTATGAAAATTATATTGTTTTAGATAAGCTGAAATATTTGAAAATTTAAAATTAGGTCCATCATACATTTTTTACTTAGTAATATATATATATATATATATATGCAGTAGTTTTTTTTTTTATAAATATTTTAAGTTTAAATTTTGAAGAAAATAGTAAAATGTACGGCATTTCAAAACATGTATAACCGAATTTCACTCAGAATCATATTTTATTAACAAAAATGTACCGTTACATAAAGTTATAAATTAAATAACTCTATGTTATCATGGACTCCCCAATTTTTCACCAACACACTTATTGAGCACAATCATCAGCAATATATCAGGTTTTTTTTTTTATTAATTTAGAAAATAACCGAATATCTTGATGATACACAGTCACATAAAAAGACTGCTGCAAGATAATATTATATTTCACTGATCGTGGTAAAAAAGTAAGAACGACAGTAAGGTTTCCGTGACGGAGAAATATCGTTGAACATTTTCCGGAGGCGGCACGTGAGTTTCGGGCGGTCGACGGTGTTGGAGGTGAAACGTTCCGCACTATCGGCCGCGGGTAAGGTCGAGTTGTAGGTTTATTACAACAATCGTCGATAAGCCAAAATAAAATATATAACAATAACCAAACTATTAAGGTAAAAGTGTATTATGTAAATCTTTTGGGGTGCTTCGATACGGGACAGTCACGGAGGAAGGGGTTGTTTAGACACGCACCGGTGACGGCGTCGTCAGTTTTTGTTTCGTGCGTAATATTTACGACACGCGGCGGCGACCGAAAAAAAGCTCAGCGAGTAGAAAAACGACGACGTGATTGGCAGGAAAAAACGTAGGTACCTATGGCCAACGAATTTATAACGCCGAAACATCGTCGGTCATTGTGTCACGCTGCACGACTCCGTTAAAAAAAAACATCATCGTTACGTCATCAGAGTGGAAAATAAAGGCCGTGTAATAACCTTTGTGCCGGAATGGATGGAAGCTACATTTCTAATAGAAATTTGAAATTACTATTCAGTAACAATACGCACAGCCCTTTCTCAATAGTTCTACCGAAATAATCAGCCATCCACGAAAATCGACAATTCTGGTAATAACAACTTCGAAAATACAACGTACTCGCTGTATCCGTTTGTTTTTGTTTTGTGTTTTTTGAAGCGGACGTCCTATTTTTGGACGGAACTGAAACGATAGGTCAGCAATGAAGACAAGAAGAATTTCATTTGGTTTTACAGACAGCCATAAAAAAACAAGGTAACGGTTGAAACTGCAGATTTTGCAGCAAATTGATAAAGCTTTAATTATCAATTAGGTACATTTAGATAATGAGAAAAAATAGATTAAGAATACTCTTTTATTATATTTTAATTATAATTGGTCTATGAAAAACGTGAATGAAAATTTGAAATTGTAAAAAGGAATGAAAAATAATATATATTTTTTTTTATGAAGTTTTGTAAAAAGTAATTAACAACAACAAAAAAACTTTAAATGGCGTATTTTTGTTTACAGATAATAATTTTGTATATAATGTAATAATAGTTGTGAATTAATAAAATTATAAAATCTTTGTTCACAGAAAAACACAATTTAGTTTATTTATTAACCCCTATTTCCTAAATAAATGCAATAACACATTATATGTATTTAAATATGCGTACTTACATGCATCGTTGGAAAACGACAAAAGAAGACAAACTTAAACAAAGGCATGTAGTTAATGGCAGAATCATTCAATTAAAATAATATATTTATATAATAATAACAATGATAACATTAATTTTTAATATCATCATTACCGTTATAATATTGTGATAATGAAATTTTACTGTCTGCGTATACACAAAATCGCTGTCTAAATTTCCTAATTATATATTTATATCACGAGTAGAACGGCGATGATTCCTAATATCAGTACCAATACATTATCAATTATCAATAGCAGTAATACTCTCTATAAGAGTGCAAACTACGTGAAAGATTTACTTTATCATAAGTTACATTTGTACGTGTAAATCGGGTATATAGAAAACATCACTCGTGATCTAAATCATACGGTCTGACTGTTAAGAAAAATAATAACAACTTTAGGACATTGATCAATAGGACATTGAATTATTATAAATTAGATTCGGTGTCGATAATTTTTGATTGAAAACTTATACATTTTAATGCATAAACGTGACTCACTAAGGAGTTGAGAAACTCGGAGATGTGTATAATTATAGGCATTTATGCATATGAGCGCACAATGTGTTTGTCATTAATCACGTTTTCATGCGGCAGTACTGTTTATAGCGATGCGCAAAACCAACGCTCATGTTTGTATAGTTGATCTAATATAGTTCTATCTAAATCTAGTAGTAGATTATAGTGATCAAACTTCGATAACAGAGTTAAAATTCGACCATTCAATCATTTATTATATATAATCAATTGACCAACATGATAATATTTTCGTAGTCACGTATAATAATATCCAGTTCTCTAAACTTCACACGATTAAACAATTTCTTAAAAATGACATAATAAATAACATTAAAGTGATATAAGGTACACTGTAATAGGTATACTTATAGTAATGATTTAACGGGACCAATCCACATCTAACAAGAGTGTAATAAAAAAATCTAGACTAAAGTCGTTATATTTCAACTATCAATTTATCAATTCAAATGACAGTGAACATTTAGGGTTAAATTCATATGTAATCAATAAAACAGATATTTTATTTATTTGTACTGTATCACATTACCACAATAATATTTGACATAGGTCAATTATTATTGATTTGACAATACTATAATATTCAATAATAAATCGAGTTCACTAGTATTTGTGTATGAGTACCTCCTGCAAAATTAAATTGTCTTAGTTCAAAAACAATAAATCGACAGACATATACAAAATGATTTGAAAATCTCTATTAAAGTTTAGATTTAATCGGAGTATATTGAATGATTTTCTAAAACAATGTTAGTGGTTTTGTGTGCAAAATCAATACGATTGATAATGGAAATGATTTTAATAAATGTTCACAGAAACACTACAACTATACAATTTTTCTCGAGTATCAAAAAACTGAAAACAATACTTTGCTAATTCAATAAATTCTTAGATTATTGAACTCCAGTGTATGATTTTACTATCAATTTGGAAACTTATATAAACTTTTTAACCAATAACCATACTATAAGTAAAACGCATAATGGCTGTTTGCCTCTAAGGACGCGCATACAATAAACACGACAGGTCAAACATATTTTAGTACAATGTAATATTTTTTATCCATAAAGTCAATAAGCTATTCATGTCATCGCTTGAAGTGGTTGGCGTTTCATTCTCTCGATTGTGTCAGATTTTTTTCCAATATATCCGATTGCTTCAATCTAGTAAATAGAGGTACGCGACAGACCCTATGCATAGTACTAAGCGTCGATCCGTCAATGTCAATAATTTTAGCGTGATTTTTATCGATCTGAAATATTCAGTTCATGGGGTCACTAAAATAACGATAATACATTTTTCAATAAGTCAACCTTATATCACAACATATGTATAATATTTCACCCGTGGTTTGATTTGGTTTTAGGTGAACTTTAACGACACTAAATTAAAATATATTGTATACGTATAATCACTAAACTACATGAGTAATTTTCATGTTATAAACTATACAAAAACAACATTGATTAAAAAAAAAAAAAAAAATCATAAAGGAACAAATATTTCATACTTAATTAGTGAATTAAGGTACAAGATAAATATTCATCATAAATGACCTTTATTAAAGTAAAGATTAAGTTATGCCTGTATGTAGAAAGTTGATACTATAGTACCTACTCCTCATTTAATATTTTAAGATAGAATTTTGTATAAGTACTATAAAAATCTAGGTTTATGTAATATGAACTTTTCAATAATGAGTGTGCGTAAAGTTTGTAAATTTAGTGTTCCATGCTGGAAAAATATAGTTTGGCACCACTGGTTTTTACTACTTAGTGTAGTTTAAGCAAATAATTTGAGAATATGTTTAACAAAAACCAACCCGTTAGCAATTTAATTAATTTACATAAACGATCTGTTTGTTTTACTTTTATTATGGAAAACAAAATCTACATTATTTCAGTGATATAATTGTTAATTATATTGTTTCACGAGAAAAGTTATTATATTTAATACTTATAATAAATATAATATTATTATACGAAAAGAAAAATATAAAACGCGATCGAAATAAAGTAGACTACATCAAACATAGTATTCAAAAAAGAGTAGTTGCGACAGATTATTCCTGCATTAGATACACAGTGGCGTACTATTTTTATTTTAGCTTTTTCATAGCATATAATTGTATAAGTGCCATAGTACACGATGAAATAATTATTATTACATATTTCCATCAACCACGTAAACCGTACGATTTGACACATAAAATAATTAAATTGTCCGTCCATCAAATGTATCAAATATCACATGGCTATTTTATGGCATATTTATGAAAATATTTTCATAAATACTGATTATTTTTTATTTTAGAGATGCAATATGTTTAATGTGGTTTTAAAAAAAAATTAACCACAAAAACATCTTAACTTTTACAAGAAAAAATATTATTATAACACTAGCAGATCGGTCGAATTCACCAAATAAACGTCAAAACTACAATTCTATTTTTAAAATGTTTTAAATAATATTAATAATACAATTATGATATTATAATTTACTGTTAAGATCAAATCGTTAATTATTGTTAAATATATTTATTTTTAGACTTATTATTATTATATATCTATATACAATTTTAAATTTATATTAATCAATTGTAAATAACTATATTATTCCCGAATAAATTGATTAATTGGTCGTTATACCATTATTACGAGTACAATGAATTTACAGTATAACGAGAGATCCGTTTTTATTTAAAGCGAATCGGAATTATAATTAAACTTTTGTAATATAAATTTGTATAATTGTTTATGAAATGTATGAAGCATTATCAAATAACGACAATACCCACTCGGAGCTATTAACCTAAGATTAAACGAATTAACAATTGCACATGCATTCTAATTTACGGACAAGATTCGAAATTAAAAAGTATTATGTATACACTTATAGCTTTTTTTTTTTTTTTTTAATTTACTAACCTATTCTCATTTGTTATTTATTTGATTCCATATTAAATTAGTAGCCAAATCCAATTTTTTAACTATATTATCAAAAATTGACAAATAATGTGTCTATAATAAATACGTGTAGATTTCTGAACTATAATCTCAGTGTATTATTATTTGTTATAATGTTATCACACGTATAAAATAACCTTCTGTATCCCTCGACCAGGCAAAATTTTCTTCTAGGAACCAACCCTAAATTTAACGATCAGATCAAGATTCCTGGTAGAAAAGATATTTACAGATAAAGAAAAAATAAAAATAAAAACATACGTCATATAGTAAAATCAAAATATTCCTCGTTT